TATTCCTGGCGCTCTGCCTTTGTATTCCAACTAACTCCTGTCTACACAGGTCCTTGACGTTCTCAGCATCTGCGATTGTGGTCATGACCTCGGTTACGGCTCGATCTCTTTCCGCCGATATAGCCTGGATCTCTTCCGTGCCGATGTTCACAACTTGACTAACCATCTCTGCGCTGTTGCGATCAGCGTACTCCCCTAACTGGGTGAGACGATCCCGCATTGCCACACGATCAGTGTCAATCTGGTATTGTAAGTCGTGTGCTGCTGAGAGCAAAAAGTCTCTGGATTCTGTAAGTTGGGAGATTCTTCGTTGATTTCCATATCCTTCGACATAACACTCTTCGAGGTGTGCCATCACTACTTCGTGGACTTCGGTCTCGTGTTGTATAATCTGGTTCTGTCTCTGCTCACATTCGACCATCCATGCGTTTTGGTGGTTCAACATATGCACTTCGGCAAGTAGTTGTGCACACTTCGCATTGAGGTCTCCATCGGCCCGTGCTAGTTGTAGGTTGTCAGTGCTTGCCCTTGTTCCATCTCCAGCCTCGCTGTCCGACGGCACTGGTACAGTTGACCCATCCTCCAAAGCTAGCACTCTCACAGCTCCGGTGTCAGTCCTCCTCCTTGTCTCCCTAGGGCTACGGCCTGATCTCGGTGTCCCCCCCGGTGGTGTCGAGTGCGCTGACGGGGAACGACTTCGTGCTCTACCTGTCGCATCTTCTCTCACCGCTGCCAGAGTCTCCACTTCGATCGTACCTGGACTAGAGTTGTGGGATGCACTCATCCGATCTGCGGCCGCAGCAGCTGCTCCAAAGGATGCAGTGCTGGCGTCGGATTGGTCCATCTTCAGTGACTGAGGGTAACTGGTCTATCCGATGCGTGTGCGTTTAGATGGTGTTATGTAAGGCCGTAGCTCGTACCCAGCTCAAAGGAGTCTGGATACGGCTGATAACCTGCGAACGGATGAAAAGTGTGCCCTGGCCCCGTTCAAGCCCTTAGTTCAACATGAAGCTCGCGCGCTAAAGCTCCTTTTTACCTGGTTGGGCACTTGAGCCAAAAGTATATGGCATGTACCTGTATAGCAACTATACTGGGACCTCATCCCTATTGACAAAAAAGATGTTGGTGGATGTCATTCAACATCATTCAACTATAATATTGTATTAATATACTGGGGGCAAGTGACTGAGGAGTTAGGGCTGCTAATGTTATTGGAGTTATGGTAGGTTAACTCCTCAGTCATGTGCCACCTGAAAATTGGCAAAAACAGGGCAAGCAGATGAGATAGGTCTTAGCCATAAAAAATAGTCGAAATCATAATGTTTTAAAATTTTCAATTTCGATGCCCTCATACATGTCATCAGTTCCAAGTCATCAGTTCCAATTCATTGATGTTTGATGATTGTAGGAGGTAGGTATAGACAGCTCTTAGCTACCTCTCCTGATCATTTCCCAACGCTGATGACTCAGTCACTTGCCCCAGTATACGTATATTTTTGCCAACTGTGCTTGGATGTTGACATGATGTACCTGATCCATCTGGCGACGCATGTGGATCAAGAGAACTGGAAGGCAGGTAGGAAACGGAAGCAGGTCAACTCTATGCAGTCGCATGTCCCGTCTCTATTGGTTGAGAAAAGTCCACAAAACCGACTAAATCCTCACTGCAACACGCGGATGCCAACCTAGCTGGAACACCGCAAAAACATGGCTTGCTACAAGATTCATACATGCGTCCGTGATCTTCAAAAACCTGCTGCTCTGAGCCATACCCCAATTCACGATCACAAACCTGCGACCAATCAGGTATGGAAGACCCACAAAAAGAGGGTTGCCCAGGGTTCACGTTTGCTTGCTGAATTTACTAGTCTTGCCATAGTTCGCTAGTCAATGCAGGGAAAAGTTCCGGGCCACCCTGAAATCTCCTGCAATCCAATGTTCGAGGATTGAACTTTAGAGGAAAGGTGGCAGCGCCAAGCAGGCAAAACTCTGTGCAAATGACGTTTTCAACTGCAGCGTTCTTTGCTTGAATGTTCAGCTGAGGTGCTGAACTTTATGAAATAATCCCTGCACTCCAACTTGTGACCAACATCAACGGAAGGTTCTATTGATGTACGTACTGGGATTCCACTCCGAATCTGGAAAGGATCAGCCCTGGGCCGTTATGACGAAGATTCACGGCATTCTTCAAACCAACACAGTGGTAGTGCAACCAACTCGGGTAAAGGCTGAAATGTCTTGAGGGTTCAAAAAGGCTAAAACTTTAGTTGTTTCGAACAAGAAGGCACTGCGTGCTCTCAAAACAAAGGATGGCCTTCCAGGCAAAACTGGGCCGGCCAATGCTCCTTGTTGAAGATGAAAACCCACTGGTTGCAGGATCAAGAGCATTCTTCCAACCTGGAAAAAACAATTACTTTACTTCGAGTGATCCCCACTCGAGTGATCCCCACCATGACATTTCAATCATTTAACTTGATGCCATAGTGAGGAGCATGTTGCCATGGTCGTGAGTATTGTAGTTCTCGATTTTGCTTGTGGGTCCTCGGGTTGTGTGCTGCGGTTGTGTGTTGTGGTTGTGGTTGTGGTTGTGGTTGTGTGCTGTGGTTGTGTTTGTGATTGTGTTTGTGGTTGTGTGTGTTGTGGTTGTGGTTGTGATTGTGCTTGTGATTGTGTATTTGTGATTGTGTGTTTTTGGTTGTGTTTGTGGTTGTGTGTTTGCGGTTGTGTGTTTGTGGTTGTGTGTGTGGTTGTGTCTTTGTGGTTGTGTTGTTGTGGTTGTGTGTTTGTGGTTGTGTGTTTGTGGTTGTGTTTGTGGTTGTGTGTCTATTGTTGTGTGATTGTGGGTGTGCGTTTGTTGTTATGTTTGTGGTTGTGTTTGTGGTTGGGTGTTTGTGGTTGTGTCTTTGTGGTTTTGTTGTTGTGGTTGTGTGTTTGTGGTTGAGTGTTTGTGGTTGTGTGTCTGTGGTTGTGTGTCGATTGTTGTGTCTTTGTGGGTGTGTGTTTGTTGTTATGTTTGTGGTTGTGTTTGTTGTTATGTTTGTGGTTGTGGTTGTGGTTGCGTGTTTGTGGTTGTGTTTGTGGCTGTGTGCTTGTGGTTATGTGTTTGTATTTGTGTGTTTGTGGTTGTGTTTGTGGTTGTGTGTTTGAAGCATACTATCTGCCATTCAATCTGCCATTCTATCTGGCAATCTATCTGACATACTATCTGGCATACTGTCTGGCATACTATCTGGCATTTTGTCTGGCATACTATCTGTCATTCTATCTGGCATATCTTCTGGCATTCTATCTGGCATTTTATCTGGCATTCTATCTGGCATACTTTCTGGCATTCTATCTGGCAATGTATCTAGCAATCTATCTGACACACTATTTGGCATACTATCTGGCATATCTTCTTGCAGCATTCTATCTGGCAAACTATCTGGCTGAGGTCCAGCGGTGCACACTGCGATCGGATCCTTGCGGTTGAGGTCCAGCAGTGCACACTGCGATCGGATCCTTGCGGTTGAGGTCCAGCGGTGCACACTGCGATCGGATCCTTGCGGTTGAGGTCCAGGCGTGCACACTGCGATCGGATCCTTGCGGTTGAGGTCCAGGGCTGCACGCTGCGATCGGATCCTTGCGGTTGAGGTCCAGGGGTGCACACTGCGAGGGGATCCTTGCGGTTGAGGTCCCGGGGTGCACACTGCGATCCGGAGCTGGCCAGACAAGATCGGCGAAGCAGATTGGCGAGGAAGGAAGCAAGGAGGAAGGAGGAAGGAGGAGGACGAGGAGGCGGCGGAGGCGGAGGCGGAGGAAGAACAACTGTGATAAAATCTAACAACCCTCACCTGGCAGGTGGGGAACAGTCCCTGCGGACGAGGCCTTTTTTGGACTTGCATAGGCTGCAGCGAGTTGGAACGGGAAACGGAGCACCAATGAACCCAGCACTTTGACTGGGAACTCGCTGTAATGGTTGCCGAGCAACGGGCTCGGCGCTATGAACAAAGCCGGAGTGGCGCTCCAGCGCTGACGCTCTGAAGACACTCTCCTGAGCATCTTCGGAGGTCATTCAAGCCAATCGGTTGCAAAACTGCAAGTCCCCTCAAGCAGAAGTATCCAACACATTTACCCCTCTGTTGATTCCATGTTGTCCCTGTTTCTTCCATACTACCAGGATTCTGGATTGCTGGCGATCATTTCCATATACACACACAATTGGCCAATCCAGCCAATGCTGCAGACGTTGCAGCATTCATGCTGGGGAACCAGTGCTTTAAACAATTCCAAACGTGTCCTGTAGATGCCATCCTCAGTCGTCCCGCTTGAACTAGTGAAATAGCAGCTCGCCACCCAACATACAAGAAGAATAGCCCGGAGAAACTGTGCAAGGACAAACAAGAACATACAACAAGAACTTTCTATGATCCTAATATATCATCAGAATAGAAGTGAGTACAGATAAATGTTGACTGTGGGTTAATAACCCCCCCAACCAGAAATGTCAAATTACCTTTGGCGGTTTATCAATGAACAGTCAACTATGAAATGATTATGGAAAAGAACAAATGAAGTAAGAAAGAAAGACCTAAGTGACCTAGGACCTAAGACAGGAAAACAGTGAAGAAATAAACAAAAATAAACAAGAAGAAAAGACAACAACAAAAACCGCATGCGGCAACCCGTCATGGTTCATCGACCCCATCGACCCTCCGTGCCCCGACACCAGACGCCCGACGACACCAGACCTCGATGGCTCAGCTTTGTACTGCACGCTCAGCATAATCAATGCTACAAACATACAAATAAAATACTATACAACTACATAACAGAAATGATGTTCATTGCCATAAACTCTGCAGACTCTGCAGGTAACCTTTCCCCACTTTTAGAATCTGCGCTCCTGCCTGGAGACATGACAAAATGTGTTAATCTTACTGATGTTCAAAAGTTCTGCTCTGCAGGTGGCAGACTGAAGATTCATATTCATTTGACCCAAATGGTTGTGGTTGTGAGTTGCAGGAAGGGTCTTTTGGGTGTGGCTCAGAAAGTTGCGATCCAAGGGCCTGCACTGTTTGAGCCAATCTCATGTCATGAAAGCAACTCAAGCAACAAGCAGTGCACAAAACCATGATTCATCTGGAGAAACTTTGAATCAAAAGAGGGGAACGTGTCACAATCACAATGCAACTTTGTGAGCCTGGAGATTTGCTTTTATCCATTTTTCAGAACAGAACTCGAAGCATCACGCAAAGTATAGGCTGAAACATGCCGTTTCCTGAAGCATCACACAACAGCCTAGTTGTTGTTCTTAGATTCTTCAATCTAAACACAACGAGGCTCTTCCACCAAGCCCTTCAGCCAAGCTGCACCAAAGAGGTCTTCGTTTTCGACCACATTCAGCGAAAAGGCTGAGTGGGCGCGAGTACACATTTGCTGCTGGCAGATTCAATCACTGACAAATTGGGATAGACATTCCGACATTGGGATAGAAAAATGATACGCCAAACAAGCACTCAGTTTGGTAGCCTTGTCATCCAATATGCCACAGGTGCGGTTTACCCCCGTTCTACATCCACGCAAATGACACAAATCAGTACAAACCATTCCAAATACCAAACAATTGGTTGACTGGAGGTGCATGTGGCTGCTTTCGGTCTATGTGGAAACATGTGGAAGCCATCCAGGCATGAGGTTCCCATCCTTCGACCTAAGAAGCGATGATGGTTCTTGTGGCGGGCTGGTGCTGTCGTGGGGGAGTGGCATCAGTGGCCCACGGCTGACCGGACAGAATTCAAAGGCGGATCTGGACGTTCTTTGCAACACGGCACCACGCCGAAAAGCCGTGAAACCACCTCTTTTCCGAATCTCCGAATCTTGACCATCCCGCCCAGCCCATTGTTTGAGGCCAAATGGCCCAGAAGCCGTGCTTCTTCCTGGTGTCGAGGCCGCTTTGCTGAAGGGTCTTCTGTGCAGTCTTCGCCTCCCAAGAGGTGCAAAACCTGCAGTCTTGGCCTTCCAACAGGTTCATTGCAACAAGGTCATGCATGACCTGAACATAGACCCATCCAATGGTGGTGACCATCCCAACCATCCCCATGTCCTTGCAAGGTGAATGGATTTGATCTTGTGGGTCTACTAGGCCGGCCCTTTGAGAACTTTGAGAGGTACAGCGTTGCAGCATCCTAAAAGGTCCTAAAAGCAGCATTCTAAGTGAGCATTCCTGATCCGTCCACCCCAAAGGCTTCCTTCACAACTATTCAGAGCAGGGGAGGATGGTCCGGTTATGAAAGTTGATTTGCTCCCAAAGCAGCTTTACCTATGAGGAGTTCTTACTCCTTTGAATGGGTGCTTTTGCTGGTCGTAGGGTTTTCTCCGCTGGTCGCCTGTGACCAGTTGTCTCCGTTGTGCTGGCTTGCTTCTGTTGCCTTTGAATTTGGTCTGCAGGCGTGGTGGGTTGCTCGCTGGTGCAGGCCTCTGCCCCGCGGTGTCGCTGGATTGCCGGGCTCGGTCTCTGGTCTCGCGGTATCTCCGGCTGTCTCGTTTGTTGGTCTTCGGCCATCTCGTTGTGTATTCAACACTTGATTACTTTTAAGAGAGCCTTGGCCATGTTCAAGCAGCAGGTGTTTCAAGGCCGATTCTCTTCCACCGTTTCTTTGATGTTCCTGCTTGGGTTCTACCCCGGAATAGTTGTTTCTGGATGACTTTAGTGGCCTCCAAATAGCTGGAGGTAAACCAGGGTCTGACCAACGAAATCTCTGTGAGGTCTACTAGTTCACCGGTTCGCCAGGGGCTTGCACTCGGACGGCGCACTCGGCCTCTCCTTCGTCCAAACCCCCCCGGGAGGTTCCCCAAGAAAAAGAGACGTAAACAAACCTGAAGGAGAAGGATAGGGCTCCTTTCTCCTGACTTCGCCACTGGGAAGCATCTGAATGTTGATCACGATATGCGATAATTGTCCTTTTTTTCAGCACCCAAAAGACCGGTCGACGTCGTTGTCGGTCGTCTCCAGGCCTCTTTCAAGAGGTTATCGATCTCGGCCTCCATGCCAGCAGCGATCTCACGAGCCTTGACCTGGCTCTCACTCCCCAGACTCGGAGCGACCGAGGACGACCGAGTCGGGGAGCAACAAGTGCTGTCCACCCCTGGAGAGCTGAGGACAAACGGCTGAGCCCAAAGCGGTGTCCAATTCGAGTGTGCGAACGAGAAATTCTGTGCGGGTGGATGCAGTGCATCATCCGATCTGCATCACATCAGTATCGAATGACTGCGAAAGAGCCGTCTGGTACCTAAGAGGCTCTCAGAAGCACCTCTCGGGTCGCCAGGAAAAGCTCGTGCCTACATGTGCCCACAATTGTCCACCACAACCTTGCTGGCTTGGAGTTGAGTAGACCAAAATGCCGTGCAAAGTGCAGAATCGTGAATTCGTCGCAGCCTCATAGGTCCATCAGCCCTCATCGAACAGAACGGCATCAAACAAAGTAATCTAGATCCAATCTATAGAGCTCTAGAGAGGCACTTCCCAGGTGTCCCTCCAGGTCCTTTGGATTCAAAATGGCCTGGAAGGACACCTGGGAAGGCATTCCTTTGGATTTCTTTGGATTCCTTCCCGGTCCTTTGATTCCTTTGGTGCAAGAAGCCTTCAAAATGCTTTCACCCTCCGACTCTCACCTCGCGCTGCTCAAGTGTCTCGAACTCTGTGCGAAGGTTGGCAAGCTCTTCCCTCAACTCCTGCCGCGGAAGCAACGGTGATCTGATGTTCCAGTCACATACCCAAACATGCTTCACCTCTGACAAAATCCATCACCCACATCATTCCCTCATCCCATGACCTTCCCTTCCTTCTACGCTGCCCCATGCGCGGCACCGCGCACTCTCCGCATCCACCTGTCCTGCTCGATGCGATGGGCATGGGCCAAGCGCTCCGCGGCCTGGATCGCTGTCTGAGCGCCAAAAAGAAGTAGTTCTGGACACCGAATGTCGTTTTGTTCCATATGGCTGTGGGTCATGGCACCAGGAGACCTACGTACTGCAGGCTCCGCTTGATGCGCCACAGCCATATGCGTTTCACATTATGGTAATTTACATGCCAAATACGTTGTTGTTGTTGTTGTTGTTGTCGTTGTCAATAATTGACAATCGTGGTATATAAATGTGGTAAGGAGAGTCTTTAGGACAAGGACGACGAGTGCATTGCCTGAGTCCGGGGATAATTATGAGATCCAACTAGGGCGGCTTTTTGTCCATACGTGCAAATTCGCGGTTTCATCATGAGACTGGGTCCACCCCACCCCACCGGACCATACAAGAAACCACAAAACGCTTGCGTGCATGCCGCATGGCGCATGATCTCTTACTACACGCAACACAAATTGTTGCGGCCCGCGCCTCGGACTGGCCTTGCTTCTGATCCAGAAGTTCTTCCTGAAGGCGAAAGGGATTGGCTTCGCGAAATCTGCCAGGGCTCCCCTCGTGGGGACCACCGCGGTCCGCAGCAGTGCAGGGGAGTGGGGTTCATCATGGGTACTTCATCACAAGAGCCCGCAGGCCGGGAGAAGGAACACACACACACACACCCTCCAAGTCGACTTAGGGAATCGAGAAGATCCGCATATAAAATAAAAGAAGAAAATGGAAGTCATGGACACTGCTGAACCCCTTCCCCCAAACTGTTCCATGGAGCAGGTGGATGTGCATGTTGGATTTTGAATGTATTACTCCCAACTACGAGGGGCACTTCATTGGATTTCACCTCAATGTGCAAGGTCTTAAATTCGATGCGAAGTCGAGCACCGCCCCGCTACTTGGCCTCAATCTTCCTCCTCGCCTAGGCAGGCACGTGTCTTGGTCAAATGTATCGCAGTCTGGCGCGCCGCAGTCCATCGTGACCCTACAGTAAGAACTGATAAATTTATATAAATATATAAATCCTTCGTCGTAAAAGGCGCATGAAGCATGAGCCCCCAGACATTCTCTTCGTCTGCTGCTGTCTTCTGCGCGCGATTCACCACAAACTGGCAGGCAGGATCCAGAAACCTTTTCTTGGTGTGGACGCGCATGAACTCGAGTCCAATACCAACACGGACATGCACAATGCAGTGGTCCCACCAGTACCAATGTCAAGTTACAGTAATCGAAAATATGTTTCAAGATGTTTCCAGGAACAACAGCTCAATGAAACTCTTGCAAACTCTGCCTGCTAGCCGTGCTTCCCATCAGGACCAAAATATAAACGATATTTAAATATATTTAAACTATTCTAAATTAACACACTATATTGTCTGCCAAATTTACCAACATTGAATTGGCACCCGATGCTGTGCCTGAATCATACTGAACCTATGCTCATCATTCGGAGGTGGGCAAGGCTGGCCCAATCACCCCCAGACATGGCGGGCGCCACACTTCGACTTCGTGCTTCTTCCTTCAGACGTGCCACTTCCTCCACATGAAAGAGCAGGCAGTGGAGCTACTCATACCTCCTGACCTGAATCGGTCTTGCCTGGAGAACTGTCCAACAAGCATTTGAACCAAAAACAAGCAAGTCCGCTGACAGCTCCAAGCAATCCATGCGACGGAACTGATGCACTTCGAGCGTGTTTCTTAGAGATCCAACGCGGCCAAGTGTCGCAAAGGAATACAGCACGATATAGCACAATCACAGTGAGGTCCGCGCGTTCAAGCAGAGCTTCCGCTGAGTTGTCTGTACAATGGCTTTACACAAGTCGGCTTGCGCGACTCGAGAAATGAACTCCTGCAACCGGACTCCCTGTTGGACCGATAAGGCAGGTTTCACAGCAATCCGTTAATCTGAATCACACCAGTCAAGAAACTCAGGGCCCCCAACGTCTTGGTCCAGGGTGACCACCATGAGGTCCAGGACCACCATGAGGTCCAGGACCGCCATGGGGTCCAGGATGACCATGAGGTCCAGGCCCAGGTCGCCATCCGCCATGAGGGCCATGATGAGGTGGAGGTGGGAATGGCAGCCATCCTCCACCAGAACCGGAACCGCTCCAGGATCCTGAACCCGAGCTGCTCCCAGAGCCAGAGCCGCTGCCGGAGCCAGAACCAGACCCAGAACTCGAACCAGAACTGCTTCCGGACCATGAACCAGAACCACTTCCGGACCATCCACCAGCAGCAAAAGGAGGGGGAGGAGGGCCACCATGTCCATGGGGTCGAGGACCTGGGTGAGGACCTGGGTGTGGACCTCCATGCCATCCATGCCCACCAGGGCCTCCAGGACCACCAGGATGACCACCCCTTCCAGGGCCTCCTGGCCCTCCTGGCGGCCTCCAAGCAACAAAGGATCTAGCACGTGGCGCCTCACCAATCAATGGCTGAGGAGGACCTTCAAAGGCATAGGCAGGAACCCATTCCCACTCTCCGTCCAGTAGTTCATCATGGTTGTCCCTGGCTGGAACAGGAGCAGTGTGTGCATCAGCACGATCTTTGCCTTGCTTGGGTACAATCTCCTTTGTAGGAACTCCAACACCACTTGCGTCAGCCGGATCTAGTGTGTCAGCCTGGTCTGATGCTGGACCTTCTTGGGCAGAAGTCTCAATCTCCTTTGTTGGAACTCCAATTTCCGCGGCTTCCGGTAGATTCCCTGTGCTTGCTTTCGACTCGGGTACATTTTCCCCACGAAGGTGCTTCACCTGATCCTTGCTCTGGACTGGAACACATGCCAGTGCCAGGACAAGCACAATGGATGACAGCCTCATGACTCCCTTTCGAGACCAAGAATCTGCTTGAGCCAGTGTTGCTTCCTAACACGCACCCCAAATCCACAGCAACTCCAACCTCGAACTTAGCAACTTGCACCAGGCGGCCATGCCTGCCAGACCCTCCCTTCACAATTCTCCAAGCCTCCAAGTACCTGCCTTTGACTCATCGCATGCCTTGTCGATCGTGACGCCCGACCCGGAGATGGGCTACACTGCTAGATCGATCGGCATCGGGTGCGTCAGGAGATGCGGTCCTTCATGGAGGCTTTCAGCTCTTGGTGCACGGTCTTCAGGTCCCCTTTGGCCTCACGAAGACGGTGCGGGGTTTTGTTCCGTTCCAAGGAGGTGTGTAAATTATACAAATACACCTCGATCTTGATGATTTCTGATCATATGTTTATGGAGACAACGAGGGGCTCACAAGGCCACCAAAAACGGATGATGATTCTGAATTATGAAGACTGAAGACTGCATGACTTATATATCTTTTCTCCTGCAGGCGCCTAGTCTGAAAACTACCATCGTCCTGCAGCTTGAGGAAATGCCTTCAACCATCCCTGCTCTCCCCCTGCTCTCCGCGTGCACTCTCGCGCGCTCGCACGCGCCTGCTGCATGGCTGCGCGAAAGGCTTCACCTGCGTGGGTTCTCCACCAGACACGGGGCCGCAGGCTCCACCGTGGGAAGCAAACTGGTTTGGTCCGGCTGCCGTTGGACCGGAGTGAAATGGAGAAACACATCGACCCTGGCCTGATGTCAGGGACTGGTCTTGCCGGCTCATGAGACGCAGCACTCTCTGAAGACTATGGTCAAAAGTGTTTGAGGTGCTGCTGGGGCACGCGATTCCCGAATCTGCAAAACCGGTGAATTCTGTCTCACGCGGCTCCAACCACAAATTCATCCCCCAAACAAAAATACCACCGGCATTCTCAACACCAATGGCCCCTCCAATCCAGACGAACCAACCGCGCCTCGCGCGCGCTCCGAACGCAGCGCTTGGATTTCCTTTTGCAAGGTGGCCTCTCGGACCCGTGACCTGGCAGCTTCCCCCCACGTGGACGGGTCCGGACCGGTGAGATGAACGGGTTGGGCAGCATAGACGAATTTCAGCCTAGCCGATCGGCCTATCGGCTGGTCATAAAGTCTCTTCAGATTCACTCCTTCCACCATTTTAACCAAAAGTCTATGCCTCATGACGTTCTCTTCCATCTCCTTGGCTCGAAGGGTGACACCTTAGTGCTGCGAGTGGTAACTAACATGATCTTGCCGGGCCCTGCCTGGCAGCTTCGCTTCTTTGAGCGTTTGAACGGTCGCAGGCACTCAGGGCACCGGTCGGTAGAATTGTGTGACACATGACACGAAGAGTGGGACCCTTCTGTTTGGCATGGGGTCCTGATCACCTTCCCAGGGGGGCAAATCGGGTCTCTTGGACCATAGTCTTCCACCCAACCAAAGGAGGGCAAATCAAAATGCAACGAAAGGAGCTCGGGATCGGTGGATGGCACGGCCATGGATCTTGCGTGCGGTCCCCACGCGCCCGGGCCTAGCCTAGCGCGCTAGGAAGCCTTGCGCTACCGGGCCCCACTTCGATCTCCCAAGTCTATCAACTCCATTCCTCGCTACCAGGAGGCTGTCCATCTCCGCTTGAAGGTCTTCATAGGTTCGGGTCTGGCGGTCTCGGACCACTCTTCGGCGGTTTCGGACAACTCCCGCCGGTTCGGAACAACAAACAGGCCACGGGATCCAATTCCGAAACAGGGATGGTTGGGCAGGGTCTGTCCATGCAGTGGTCACACTTGGTAATGCCGATGGACTCCAAACGTAGAACTGTTCAAGCTTGAGCTGCTTAGGAGATGGTGCTTGTATGTGCCCACGCACCTTCGCGTGCCCATGGTCATGAGTCAGACTATTTTCCGGTCAACAGACCTCCTGTGGGCTCTGTTCAAACAAAAAACTTGTCCTACATAGCTTTCCCATCAAAATGAACCCATCGAAGCAAAGCAAACTGGTTGGGGGACTGTGAGACTTCCCGCCAGTTGAAGCCAACATCTTGAAGACTGTTACAAAACGGCAAGCCGCAGGGGTGTCAACATGGAGTGTAATCAATCCTCCTTGCTACCAAACATGCTCCAACACCCACACCAACTCCTGCCAAAGACCGTACGGACGATCTGCGCTGGCTCGCTCGGCCGGCGCGGGGCCTTCTCTTCCGCCTTTTGATGTTGTGTTTCGAAGAGGCCGGAGACCTGGGTTGGTCGGACGTCGGTCAGTCTGAAAAACCAGTCGGACGGACGTCAGTCAAACGATGGATGTGGATACAGCATGATACAGCATGCGCGAAGTGAGCTGAAACCCCTGTAAACCACACAGCGGCTCATCACCCACGGCAGAGTCATTGGTCCTCCCTGAACGGCACAGGTTGCAGCTGAGCAATGAATGCTCCGGCCGCTCTATGTAGCTGCAATGTTGTTTTAAAACAAAGCCCAAGGGAAGAGTTTTTCGCCTGGGGAAAAAATGAAACAACTCAGAGTGTGGGCTCTGGTTTAGCGAGGCCAACCAAACTTCGCGGTTTGTTCTCTGGGTAGGCTATTTGTTTGGCAAACATATCCAAACTTATCGTAAACTCCATGGCTATCCTGTCGATGGTCCATGGCTGGGCACCTTCTGGTTGACCTTGTCCAGGGCCTTCAAAATCACCTGAAGCTGTGGATGTGAGTGAAATAAGAAAAAGGAAGTGCCAATCCGTTGGACGAGATACCCTCCGACTCCAAACAATAAGAATCTGGCAGAACACCTCGAGTAAAGGAAAGTGTCCATGTGTTTGGCTTCAGAGTAACGTTGACTAGTTTGACATGCATCTTCAATAGGAGGCTTCCTTCATGAAGTGATTGCCGTGTACAAACTAGCCTGCACAATCGGTCCTGAGGACTCCGTCGTTGGACGTTCCGACCATTTCTTTGAGGTCTTCGTTGGACAAATGATGACGAATTGCTCGATTTGCAACTTGACATTTTTCAGGTACCTGTTCTATGAAGTCATGCACGTCTATGAGCAACATTCGTGAAGGGGCTAGGTTGCAACAGCTAAAGCGACTTCGATTGTTGCCATTTCAGCACTGACAATTTATCCAATTTCTTGGGTGCTTGGCCAAGATACCATACTGACATCCTGACCAATATCCCTGTCAAACTGCGGCTTCCCTCAAGAGGGCCCCCTCATCCAAGAATCTCCAAGTGAACCACCTTTGTGATTCATGAGGATCCTTGTCGGCAAAAGCAGTCACATCATGCTGCTCCACCCTCAACCCTTCTCAACCCTTCTCAACCCTGCTCAACCCTGGCCCTGCTCGACCCGAGACACGGTGAGTTTGGCTGAGTTCGGCCGAGACACCGAGTCAGCTCGGGATTGGGTCGTGGCCTTGTCCAAGTCTTTCTCCAGCCTGGCCCAGAAAGACCCGGACCGGCGGAGGAGTCCATCGGTCCAAAAATGCTGGTAAAACCCATAAACAACATGATGTTCCCCCTGTTCCCCCTATGTTCAACAATATGATGTCCAGTCAAACAAAATCAACACGAGGACTAACAGGAGGTTGACTGAGGCTCAAATCCTTGGTCGTCAGCTGCCTTATCAAGGCAAATTCCGTAGAAATGAGTGACACATGCTGCACCGCAGGACCGAGCCATGCCGCATGTGGCCACCTCAAAGCCGCGAGTCGAAACGGCTGACCAACGAACTCTCTGTGAAGAACGGCACCTCTGGATCTCTTTCGCCAGCTGCTCACGCGCCTGGCTGCTCTAGGTCGGCACAGTTCACTCAACCCGTCGGGAAAGTAAATGGATGGCTTCCACTGTTGGTGGGTCTTTCTTCAGCGCTTGGTGTGTCGCGTCCGTGTCCTTTTCCGTGTCCGCTTCTGCTTCTTCTTCGTCTTCTTCTTCTTCTTGCGTGCATGGTCCACTTTCACATTCTTGCTCTCCAATGTCATGTCCTTTGTTTTCCCTGCGCTAGCACACTTGCTCCGCACGTGGATGATGGCATTGTACTACGTAGCTATTAGTGCTGGCTGCCATGTTCAAATCATATGACCTTGGACAAGACTTCATAGATTCCAAGGTGAAGAAGGTCAAGTCATCCGCCGAATTGCTTCAGTCGACAACCGAAATCTCGACGCCCGAATCCTGCAAAGTCTACCTTCAAGTGAACATTGCAGGGTTCTGGCCAAAAGCAATCATCCCCCTGGTGGCCCAGCCCAAAAGTGCGGAATAGTCTTTTGAGCATATTCATCTAACAGTGGTTGAGGTGCTTGCCCCTGACACACATCATATTATGATTCATAATCCGAGATCTTGGGAACCAAACTAATCAGATCTAATTTTTAAGATGATCAAATCAACATCAATAAACTCCGATTGCTGGGCACAAGTGTGAATCCGGTGGCGGGCTTACACAGTACAAACTCCCATAAATTGCCTGCTGGTCCTCCGTGGTCTGATTGCGCAGCGCCTGGCCATCCAACGCAAGACTCCAACGAAAAAGCCTGCACTGAATTGTTCAGGAGTCTTCTATGAATCAATGCTCAAAAGTGGTCTCCAATTCATGCTACACCAACATAGATAGATACATATTGTGGATCGGAAAAAGAAAACATCTTGACTAACTCTGGCAGCTTCACAAGGACAGCACTTTATGCTCCCATGTTTGACTAAAGTCTTCCCAGACCCCTCCCAGACGGCTGGATTTGGTAAAAAAGAATCGAAGCGAGCACAGTGAATGAAGGAGATCCAGTGAAGCGACCGAAGCCAAGCTTGATGTGCGATGTGTAGACACGTCCTTCATTCACTGTGCTCGCTTCTTTTTGAGTGTCTCCTGGAGCCTCTCGAGACATCAAATATGCACTTCACCTTTCGATACCCCATACATCCATATACATCCCCATATCCCGTTTTTCCCAACCGAAGGCAGCTCAAAGGATCTCAAGTCAGCCAGTCACCACGACCTCCATCGACCTCCCCAACACGGCACTCGCGTGTCCACGCCATCGGCACCCCGGTCTCTGCAGCGATACCGAAGCGAAGGCCTTGCCGCGCCTCCAAGTTGCTCGAGAGAGATTGCACCTCTTCAAGCAATCCGTGGACCTGGCGTCAAAAAGAGCCCCCTTGGAGGACGCGAGTGTTGCGAGGCAGAAAACGGGCGAATTATTTAGGCGATAAGAAAACTGGGGGCACCATCACCATATTGATTTACCGCGTCTGTGAGTGTGTGGGCTACCATATGTCCAACTGGCCTGTTCGGTGGGTGAAGATCTCTTCATGGCACCTGCAAATGGGCGAGAAAAACTGTCAGAGCTCACTCAGAGCTGATTGGTCAATGTGTTTTCCTCTCTCTCATGAAGCGACTTGGGTCAACAAGGGCGACACCCAAAAGACGTAAACGTCACCTCAGTTCTAGCTGCGTTTGAATGCCTGGCTGCTCCCGTCCGATTTCGACTTCGCCGCCTTTTGCGGCTCCATGTCTCGGCTGCATCGCCGCCAGGCGGCGCAAGCGGCCGTTGGTCTCGACAGACCTGGTGGTCCAAGTCTTGTAAAGCCCCTTTCAAGCAGGCACTGGGAAAAGCGTTGGATTCTTTGCATAGCATGTTCTCCGCCCCCCCCGACAGCAAGGCAAAGCACTGCCAAAAGGAGAGTGACAGGGAGGCTTGAACTGTTCGATATGTCTATATGATTCTATATGTGTTTATATGATTTTATATGTCTATCGTTGGCCTGAACTCGTGCATGAGAGGACTTTGTGGGGAACATTCTGGAACGGTTCACGCATGTTCACACCATCTCTCCTGATGTTGGAGAGGAAGTGTACTAAGTGCACTTTGTATCGGACCCTCCAAAGGGCTTGGGTTGGTATATACCATCATCCTGAATTCGAGTCATGCTCTCGGCGTTCACCATTCTGAGTCACCCGAGAGGGTCGTCACAAAACGCATGACTTGTTGATAGCACCTCCAAGTCAGTGACCCGACTTGTTGATCAAAACTGGCCGAGTCATGGCCTCTTCTTTCTCTCAGACCCACACGTACATGGTTCCATCGTCCGGCACACCCGACGGATCCGGTCGCGGTTGAAGGCCTTTCGATCCGGTTCTGCTCACGCCAACCAGCTGGGTTCCGACTCATTGCTTGTGCTGCCAGGTGCGATCTTTTAGCTTGAAGTTTGGTGATGATTTCAACCAAAGCATGGACAGTTGATGACCTTTGCAACCAGAGCCTGGAACATGTGACCTTGCCAATAATTTTGGCTCAAGATGTGTGCATTTTGCGCGTAAAAGGAGCGCGGTTTTGCTTTGCATTCATGATTTTGAACCTGTGCTGAACGCACAAATCGAGAAGTGAACCTAAGAAGGACACAGCACATATCGAGAAGTGTCCAAGAAATAGTTTGAGAGATTCAACATAATTTGCTTTGAAAGGAGATTTGATTTGACGTGATTTGTGAAAGTGAGAGCAAGTGAGAACTGGAAAGAGCGAGAAACATACACCGATTGAAAATGCCTTTGGAACAGCCAAGTGACTATCTGAAAGCGGCATTGCAAGCACACAACTCTCTCTCTGCTCCAACTCATTTCTCTCCCGTTCCAGACACACCAGAGTCACAGGT